GGAGCTAAGAGCCACCTGAACCTGTCTCCTCACCCACAGACCCTTCACCCACATGATTTCCTATGGTGTTGCTGGGCCCTACAGCTCACCCTAAGAACCAGGGGCTCTTGGGCTAGGGAGGAGAGGTCCATGGCAGAGTGGTGTTGTTCTCTGCCCAGCTTCAGGCCTCAGGGTTCCTGGCCTTCTCCATGCTCAGAGGTGCCCCTCCCTAGTTCCTGTTCTCAGAGTGTGAAGGCAGCAGCAGCCTAGGTTGTGGTGGAAGGGGGAGAGATGGTACTTGGGATAGGAAATTCTCAGGTTTGTGGGGAAAGAAAGCAGTAGAATGATGTCTCCACCAAAAATGGGGGCAGGAAAAAATGCACACATGGCAGCAACCAAAGCCCTTGGCTGCCATGGGTAGTTGTGATTGAGAGGGAGGCTCGCTCTGACTGGGCCTACCTGTGGCAACTGTCCTTGAAGTTGATGTGCTGGCCAGCTACGGGGGAACTCCCTCCCCTGCTGCTGCTGCTGCCTCCATCATCATCAAGCTGGTAATGAAGGCTCGGGCACTCACTGTGTGAAGATATCCTCTAAGTCTTAGACTACTGACTAATTCTAGAAATTCCCCAAAGAAGGAAAAAGGAATGAGAAGCAGTACTTACTCAGTGTCTTGATGCTATTTTCCTGGAGCCCCTGAGAAGGAATTGAAGGGAGTGACCTCGAAGAGGAGGGACAAAACACCCCAGACTCATTCCTCCAAAAGCGAAGCTGGGCTGGCACAGAGATGCACTCTCCTAAAGCGTTTATGAAGAAGCTCCAAGGTACATTCATGATGGCTGCTTACCAGAGCCAAGCTCACCAGTCTCATGCCTGAGCTCAGCCCTGGTTCAGCCTGGCCACCAAGTCTTCTCTCAAAAGAATCCTGCAGGAGGCTTCCTGGTGAAGCAGTACCCCCCCCCATTTTCATTCTGGATCTCCTCATTAGCATGTCTTTATGGAATCTGGGGTTGATTGTTCTCAGGTTAGTTCACAAACATTTATTTTTCTTTTCCCCATAGATTTAACTTTGAGGCAAAGAACCACTTTCTCTTCCATGTCTTTGACTCCTCCCACCCCCCAACAGTACCTGGTTCTATGATCTCTTCTGGAGGGTGGATGGGGTCACATGCAAGAACTCTGTCCTGGTCCAAGCTAATTTGCTGATACTAACCCTGACCTTCAGACAACGGGCTTCATGAGTAACAGCCTTCGATGGACAGCTGTTGTTTTTTTTTCATTTCATCACAGCCAAGCTAATAAGGCTTATTGAATTCATATGATAGATGAGTAAATAAACAAGTGGTAAGCCTCTCTGGCCACCACACCACCAGGAAGAGCCTCCAAGGCAGGCCCTGGGCCTTTCCATCTGCCTGCTCACTGAGCTCCAACTTCAATGCCTCCTCAGGGATTTCTAAATTGTCAAGGATTGTGCAAGAAACATTTCAAGTACAGAGGGTTAATACAAAGAGGAGGCTGTTCCAACCTTAGGAGAAAGTGGCTTAAGGAAGATGAACTAGAAGAGGGTTCAACCCCTTACTCAGATTACTGACTAGACCAGGTTGTAGGGGATCTCACCTTGGTTCCCCAGTCTGTCCACACTAGAAAACTACCTCTGATAACCCAACCTTGATTTTGGAAGGCCAGTGACCTTTGCCATCACCTATATTCTTGATGTTACTGCTTTTATTGAAATGACACTTGCTTGGATCTGGGGACCAGACCCTTATGAGTTTCTCTGCCAGTTGTGCAGAAGCCACATGTCTTCTTGGCCAAGGAAGGTCGACCTTCTGGCTTGTCTGAAGATGGGCTATCTACATGCAGGAAGGACAGGAAGAGGCAAATCTCCAGTGGGCAAGACAGATAGTTGGTCTGATGCCCCTTTCTAGATTCCTCCACCGTAGGATGATAAAGTCTGTGCCATCTTTTCCCCACTGGAGTCTTTGAATTCCCACCCACTTGGGCATCAGCCTCAGCCTGCAGCCCTCCCTACTGCTGCTTGGGTGGAGTCATTCCCTGAGGCCTCAAACAAAGCAATACAGCTAATACTCAGGCTGCTGTTGATACAAACCTAACCACATGGGTGGGGGAACCTGAAGAAGTTGGATGGGCACCCTTAAAATTGCAAGGCAAAGCCCCTAGCCTGCCAGGTAGTCTTACCTTCAGAATTCCACTGTCATCAAGACAGAGAATCTAAGCTCTTGACTGTTCTGAATTGCACAGCAAAAGGGAAAGGTCAACCCTACTCTCCGTCATCATAATCTAATCCTCTCTGTCCTTGTCCCCTCAAAAACTCAGGTTTTGAATAGCCAAAGCATGGTTCTCCAGATGATCTGAAGGTCCAGAAAAGACAGGACTCTCTTTCTGCCACTGCCTCAGAGGCTTACCCACAATCACAGAATATTCAGATTGACAGGGCCCTGGGAGATCATGGAGTCGGTCACACTGCTGCCTCCCCAATAAGGGGAAGCTCATCCAAAAGAGCCCCATGTTTTCATTTTAGAGGGGAAAAACAAAGCTTAGGAAGGCATTGCTTCATCTTCCATCTCACAGCAAGTCAGTGGCAGGGCCAGGATGTGGCTAAAATTCGGGTCGTGTGACCTTCATATCCTGCTGCTTTCTTCTGATCCACCCACTCCCCACTCCGTTCTACTTCTCCAATTATGTGCAAATGAGAGCTGACTTTGCCTCTAAACTCCTGTACCCCACAGCTCCCTAGGGAGCCTGCAGCTAAGATGTCACTATCCCCCTCCTTTCTTCTGCCTTTAAACTTCACACGCCAACCCTGCCAAGTGATTGTTATCTAAAGGCCACGTACTGTCCTGCTCTGGCAGTCACTGACCCACAGGGATGGATCCCTGTTTGTTCAGGCTGGTGAGCACACTGGACCTGCCCCCAGCTGTCAACAGAGTTTGTAGGAGAACAGATGGACTCTTCCAGGCTGCCCAGAAAAGTCCCCAGGCTTTCTGGCTCCAAGCACAAACATTGACCCTTTTAAAAAGCTTCAACCTGGAGCAGCCTGGCTTTCCTTCATTTGCCCAGGGATGACCCACAACACCCCCCCCCCCATGGTGTTTGTCAGGAGTCACAAAGCCTAAGGAAATGGCTCACTTGCACCCGCCCTGAGTGAGTTTGGCTCAGCTCTGCAGATGAGTTCGGGGGAAGCTGGAGAAGAGGCCCCAGAGGCTCTCCTGCAGGGAGGAGGGAGGAAGGGACTGTGATGACCTGACAGGGTCACTCAGTGAGCCAGGGACAGCAGGGCAGCCCTCCTCAGCCTGGGAGGATCATCCCTAGGCTGGTGCTGCCCCGGATTAGAGGTTAAGCTACAGGGCAGCTGCGGTCAGACACTAGGAGGATGAGGCTGGCCAAGACCAGGTTTAGAGTGGGTGATAAGCGCCAGTCTGGCCAGCCTACAGTGACATCTCCGGCCAGGGAAATGGGTGGATCATCACTGGGCATGGGACTGTTACCAGATCGCCTTCCCCCAAACACACACTCACACAGGTACACACCCCCATACAACCTCCCCACCCCACAAATATGCTTACACCACTAGTAAAATCAACCTGACTTTGTTCCAGATGGAGGTGGAAAGGCATGCCAGGCTTTGGCATTAGGAAGTGAGCCCTGGCCTGGACAACTGCATTTTGGGGTTGTTTGTGGGAGAGGGAGATGAAGCAAGGTAATCAGGCCTAGCATTGAGGGACTCAACTCAGTCATGGACACCCTTGTACACTGGGCATTTTGGGGGGAGAGGTTAGCAATGGAGTAGAGGCAACTGTGCCTAGGGGCAAGTCTTAGAGGGGACAGATGTGCCCTGGCACAGAGGAGGGCACTGTGCCCATGCCCAGTGCTCTGGACTCTCCTGGCCTGGCCCTGGTCTGGCAGGGCCTCCACTAGTACCAGTGGAGACGGCCCCATGCTTCCCCTGTCTGCCTCATCGTCTGAGTCTGTGTCCTTTGGTGGCTAGCTGGATAATGCCTGTGCCCTCATGAGGGCCTTGAGGAAAAAGAAGTGGGGAGGAGGCTGAGCTGGGGCCAAGGGCAGCTGGGCCTTTATCCTGGGAGGATCATCCTTGGGCTGGGGCTGCTCCACTTTAGAGGGTGAGCTAGAGCTGTACTCCAGCATTGGGAGGGTGATCCTGGCCAAGACTGAGCAAAGAATGGATAATGAGCCACAGTCTGGCTAGCCAAAAGGGGCATCTGAGGCCAGGGTACTGGGTGGGTCAGCCCTCTCCCCAAATATACATGGATACACACACACACACACACACACACCTCTACTACTACTGGTACTACTAGGAAAATCAACAGGACTTTGTCCCAGAGGGAGGTGGAAAGGCAGGCCTTCTCTTAAGGATGTGGCAGCAAGAATGGTTCCTGGACTGGGAAAGGCCCTTCCAGGTAGCTAACAAAGTAAGGCCCTCCAGCCCTTCACTTCTGCTGTTTTAAAAGGCAGAATGGAAGGGAAACTCTCTTCCCCTTCACTCCTTTCTTTCTTTCTAGGCCCCCTCCCTTCCCTGAAAAAGGAGGCCCAATGCACTTAACTTTTAACCAGTAGATTGGAGGGCTTCAGATTGGCCTTATGCTCAGCCTTCAACATGCCACCATGGCTGCCAGTTTTTCCCTTTGGAGACAATCCCCCTTCATCCTTCCTCCTCAACCCAACTCCATAGCCCCAGAGGGAGCCCACCCTCCAATCCTTTGCTAGTGGCTGCCTGTGACCTAGGGCAAATGACCCACTTCCTTGAACTGCTTCTGGCCTCCCCTCCCAGCTCTGCTTCTCCAAGCCCAGGCCTGAGCTTTGCTCCTACTGCTGCTCAAGGCACTGCCTCTCCCAGGCCTAATTCACCAGAAGGGCAGCTGCCCTTTGAACAGAGGGTTTCCACCACAATCCTGACTTTCCCCCCACTACTCAAGCAGGTGGCTTCAAGAGCAACTTCCCTGTGTGGGGCAGATAAGAAGCAATGATACATCCAAGAGAATATTTATTTTAGCACAGGCATAAATTAGAATATGTCGATAACTAAATAAAACTAGAAAATTAAACAGTAGTCTTTGTGATGAGGAAGTGCTAAGCCCTCATCTGTAGGTTCCAATGTGGGGCCACTCAGATCCTAGCTTCCTGGGGAGGGGACGAAAGCAGAGGGAGCAGACTGGGCCTGAGGGGCAGCTGGGGTCAGCCCTGCACCTACTGCTGCTGGCCCCTGAAAGCTGCAGAACCTTGGGCTCCCCCTGCTGGTTTCTGCAACCAGTGGCCAGCCCTGTGGTGTGTGAACTGCTGCCTTCCCTCCTGATGGTAAGAGGCAAAAACGACAGTGATATCGCTGAGGGCATCAGTGTTTCACGGCCAGCCCCCCACCTCCAAGCTGGGGCTGCAGTGACTATCACCCCGGGGACCTGGGGAGGCACCCAGGAATGAAGCCCTTATGTCTTCTATCTGATGAAAAAGAACCATGAAATAGATCTCTATATAAATACAAACATCTCTATATACATAATACAATTAGCTAAGTGGACCCCCAAAATTGCCCTCCCTCTCACATCCCAGCCTTAGCTCCAACAAGACAACCTCCCCTCGCACCTTCCCCACCCCCCCACCCCTGCCAACCCGTGTACTAACCAGGCCCAAAAGGAACCAGAATCAGAGCTCAAAGTAAGAGCCTGATGAGCTTCCAATGCCCCGCTTCCCTGCAGAGGCACCTGGGCCATGTCACATCTACCCCAAGGATAGGGGGTAACATCAGCTCAACGCCAACCCTAGACAGGGCCAGGGAAGGGCCAATCTCAACGGGATCCCGGCTAGTCTCCTGGCCACCATAGCCACAACCACACAGGCTGATGATCCTATGGGAGAAAGCACAGTGACTCAGCTCCAGGTGAGGAGCTGGATGAAGCCATGGCTAGAATGGAGAAGTAGGGTCTCTGGGCCCTTGAGGGCAGGCAGGAGAAATCTGGTACCAGCAGCATAAGGGAATGCTCTCTCCCCCACAGCTCCTGGCTTCACTCTGACCCCACCTCTCTTCCAACATTATCTAATCCATGATGAATTCTCTATCTAATAATACTGCCTTTCCCACATACCTGAAACCCTCCGGTCCTCTCCAAATGAAGCCGCAGTGGGTAGAAGGGGCCACCTAGCCATGGCTACATCCCCAGCTGACATACTAAATGCTACTCCAGGTAATCCTGGGGTCAGAACTTCCCTCAAATCCAGGCTGTTAGCCTTGTCAAAATGAAAAGCCCAGACCCTTGTGGTCATTCCCAGATACTTCTGATTTCAAAGACTGCTCCCATCATGGCCAGTGGTGAAGAGAACCATGCAGTAGCCACTTGCTGGAGCATGCCCATGTCAGACTGGCTACCAGTCTGCCCTTTGCAGCTGCCCAATTTGTCATGCCCTTACTACACCAAATTCCTTGCCCTAGAGCCAAGGTGGCTTAAGCTGTGTTTCTGTGGGACTGCTGCTGAGCGTAGCAAGGTATTCACTAGTCCCTACCACACCCCCAACATACAATACATAACTATTTCTACACCTCTTGGAGGTGGGCAGGGCCTGGCAGGAAGCTGGGCCACCTGACCCTGCAGATGATGGGAATTGAAACAAGTTGCTCAGCTGGTGGTCTTGTCCATATCAGAGAGGGCTTGGTGGGGCAAGATGGCTCCATGGAGGAGGGCTCCCACCTTCTGTCTCTCTCCCAGAAGCCATAGTGCCCAGAAGGGAATGAGCCTGGGGGAGGCAGGAAGAAGTGGGAGAGCTGCTTGCTGGTGGCTGAAGGAGGAAGGGGTAAAGGGACCTAGCAGGGAGGTACTAATTGGCAAGCTTGCCATGGACCTGGAAGCTGTAAATGCAGGTATACTCCAGGTGACCCAGTTGCTCAAGACTCGAAGCTCTACCACCTGGTAAAGGGCTGTGCTGTTGCCCTGCAGGAAGAGGTGAGCGGGGTTAGGATGGATGCCCTGCCCTCACAGCCGTTCTGCCCAAGGCTTCTTTCAAAGAGCAGTGGCTGAATTAAGCCCCAAGCTCATCCCTCAGCTTCCTATGAGAACCGCTGGGACTTGGGTTCCACTGCAGCCACTTGCCAAGCCACAGCATCCCTGTGGCTGGTGATCCAGTCCTTGAGGGTAACCCAGCATGCCTGGGTCACTTCTGTGGGACCAGCCCTCCATACCTGAAAGTGGAAGGTCTGAATGGCTTCCCCAGCATTATCATAGGTGAACTGTCTGAGGGCCACCCCCTCCACCTGGGAATCTTCATTGAGCCCCTTCACAGAAGGAAAAAACAAGGAGAATGGATGGCTAGACAAATGGAAGGCTGGGAGTGGGGTGCAGGAAAGGTTGTGCTGTTAGGACATGAATCCAAGTCAGTCCAAGGAGGAAAAAATGGGAGAGGTGTGGGGGGGGAGGCAGACAAGGTGGGATATGTTGGGGAGGGGAAAGTCGGGCCAACACAATCCACCTTGATGCTGCCTTTCTTGATTCCCTCACCTTCTAGCATCTCTCTCACTAATTGAACAGAGCCTTTCCCCTCCAAGGCTTTGGCCTTCTTCTCAGCCTCTTCCCCAAAGCTGCTGAATGGCTTGGGACAAACCCCTTCAGCATGTGCACCTCACTTTCTTCATCGGTATCAGAATTTGGGTCCTGAAGCATCCCTCTGCCCCTGCATATTTCACCCTCTCTTCTGGCTCCATCTTTTCTCCCAAATCCTCCTTACGTGGACGTTCCATCTCTGCCCTGACTAGGTAACTGTGTAGGGAATCCCTGTCCCTGCCCAACTCGTCCATGGGACACCTGGCCATGGAGACAAATGGCTATAGTAAAGGACCCTAAGGCACATTGTAATCTTGGCTGTTCTTGCTGCTGTGGTTGTCTTTTCCTGGCTCCTCTCTAAGAAGAGGGGGAGGAGCAGAAGGGCTGGCCCTGAGTCTCAATGTCCCATCTGTAAAATGGGCACCTCCTTCCATTCTTCACCTTGAAATGCTGCTGTTAAGAAAGGGCTTTCTGCACTTCTGGAAAGGAGAGTTGCCAGGCTCAGCCACTCACCAAGATGACAAAGTCCTTGGGGGCTCTGGTGATGTTGCTGATTGAGGACAGGGCTCTGGGCACATGCTCCACAGTGATGGCAGTGAGGTCGATGCAGGCAGACAAGCAAACCCCAACAAAGCTCTGGGGACCCTGGAAAGCCCATCCATTGCCAGGGTAGACATTTGGCTGTGGGCAGAAGACAAATCACATGAAAGGTGGCAGCACACGGAACAGATGCGGATCCTGGGGCTCCTCTGCCTTCAGGGCCCAGCCCCCACAAAGGAGGGGGGAGATGGCAGGCAGAGATCCAAGCTGGGTGACCTTTGTTCAGCCCTACCTGGAGAATGGCTCTTTGGATCTGGAAATGGTACCACAAGGTGATGCCAAATGACTGAAAATGGCTGTCCTGGTGCCATAAGTCTTTGAGCTGTGGCTACTGAGGATGCAGGCCCCTGAAAGAGCAACAGGGAGAGAAGGTGGGGGAGCACCCAAGGGCTGGCAGGACACAGAGATGGCTTATGGCAGCCCTCAAGGCGAAGGGGCACTGCCAGGGTATCAGCCTTCCTAACTGCTGGGCCCATAAATGGCATCCTAATTTGTGAATTCCTCCTGTCTCGTAACAGCTATCCTGATTTTGCAGTTCCTCTTGTCCCAAGCCCTCTGGCTTTCTGCAGGCCTCCTACCTGAGGACTCCAGGGTGTAATCCACCAGCCCAATGAGATCTTCACTGTAAAGTTTCAGGGCCCGCTGCATGATCTCATGCACTTCCTAAAACACAGGCATGCACCATTTGCAGGCTGGGCTGCCTACAGGCCCGGTTCAACCCATGGAGGGAATGGGCAAGCATGCTACCTGGTTGGCCTGGGCTTCCTCACCCTCCTGGCAGGCTCCTCTCAGGGCAATCCTGGGACTTCAGGCAGGAGGATAGGCAGAGGGGCCAGGCTCACCTCCTCTGTCACCTTGGTGGTCACTCCTTCCTTCAGAAGGGTCAGCCTCAAGTTGGCAGCAAACTTGCTGGCAGACTTGTCCTGTGCCTTTGCCACATGACTTCGGATTCTGTGCTCTGGGTCCCAAAGCTGAGCCTACACCTCCTCTAGCTGCATAAGTCCAGCCTGACTGCACTTATCTCCAAGAAAGTATTCCTGGACCACAGCCCGGGACCTGAGACTCTATCTAGAAGCCATCAGAAGAAAGAGCTCAGCAGACACCTGAGAAACAGCAGGGGTAAGTAATCAAGAGGGCCTGGACAGGAGGCCTGGGGTGCCTGAGAGCTCAGGGCCAGCACATGCCTGCCTGGTGCCAGAGAAGGGATGGCTGTAAACCAAATGACTGGTATTTCTTCACTGCTTTTGAGATCTGCAGAAAGGATCTCACTGGACCCTCTGGGACCTGAAATTATCCCACTTGACAGATGAGGAAAGTCCCGTCCATGTCACAAAGCCCACCTAATAGGCCTAATCTTTCAGAAGCACCTAGTGGAAACCTTAGATAGTTGTACCTCCCTGGGCAGATGTCCGAGCAGCAGCAGCCCAGTTGAGATCAAGGGGCATTTGTGGCTTAACCAGGGGACCAGAGGACTCACATCATTGTGCAACACCACCATCTTTTCTCACCAAATGTGTATTTCTTTGGCCACTACAGCCTGTCTCTGGCTCAAATTTCCCAGCTCCTGCCCCAGGTCAGCCAGCTGGGCCCACAGGGAACCCATTTCCTTTGGCCTTTTGTCCTGGAATTCTTCTTGGGACAAACTAGCCAGTGACAAAAGGAAAATCAAGGTCAACCTTGGCACTGGAGGATGGACTCAAACAGAACAAGTTTCACCTGAAGAAAAGCAACACACAACAGAAAGGACAGAGCCAGAGAACTGGCTGCAAGTCTTCACTGACATTTGCTCCCTGCAGGACCTTGGGTACATCATTTCCCTCCGGGGCCTCAGTAACCGCATCTGCTCTCTGAGGTCCCACTACCTCAGATCAATCCTATGCACATGCCAACTCAAGCGTTCTGGCTCCACTGACCCACCCCCAGCCCCACCCCGGAATCTCAGTTGTGATTTCTCTGTTCTAGTTTTCTAGCCCTCCTTCCCTCCTCTTCTTTTTGCCAGTCAGTTTGGGGCCTTTCCCATGCCACTCAGACATGTGCTGATGCACCCGGCTTTCCAGTTCCTGTGAGGAAAAAGAGGACCCAATAAGACTGATGAAAACATCAATGCTGCACTCTGGGGATTCGTGGTCTGCTATGGCTGGGTCCTCTGCCTGCTGAGGAGGATCTGAGTCTCTGCAAACTGCTGGGTTCCAGAAATCTTGACCTTAAGTCCTGGCTGGACTTTTCAGAGACTGGGCTCCACTTCTACTGTCCAACCAAGAGGAGGCATCTAAGAAAGACCAAAGGTCAGCTGGGATTAGGCACAAACCAGTCTCCCCAGAGTGGTGAGGTCACTTCTTAGTTCCCTGAAGAAAGTTTCAGACTCAACTCTTTAGTCACATTGACAGTCTTATTCCTCCCTAGTCTTTTCGTATATCACTAACAAAGCCCAACAGTAAGGGACAGAAAGAGAAATTCCATGTAAAATTAATGTAGACACCATAAAATATTTCAGAGGCTACCTGCCAAAACAAAACCAGGAAGTATATGAACCTAATTACAAAACACTTTTCACACAAATAAAGTCAAATCTAAACAATTGGATAAATAGGAGTTGGTCATGGCTAAGCCAAGCTCAGATAGTAAAAAAGACAATTCTACCTAAATTAATTAACTTCTTCAGTGTCATACCATACAAACTACCAACAATTATTTTATAGAGCTAGAGAAAGCAATAACAAAATTCATCTGGAAGAAGAAAAGGTATAGAATATCAAGGGAACTAATGAAAAGAAACGTAGGGGAAGATGGCCGAGCTCTACCACATCTTCAGTTATATCATAAAGCAGCAAGCATCAAAACTACTTGGTACTGACTAAGAAACAGAGTAGAGGAATCAGTGGAATAGTTTGGGTAGGCAAGACACAACGGTCAATGACTATACTAATCTACTATTTGAGAAATCCGAAGACTCCAGCTTTTGGGATAAGAAATCCCTATCTAACAAAACTTGCTTTGAAAACTGGAGAAGACTATGGCAGAAACTGGGCAGACACCACCATCTTACATCCTATACCAAGATAAAGTAAAAATCTTTGCAAGATTTAGATATAAAGAATAGGAGTATAACCAAACAAGGAGAGCAAGGAATAGTTTACTTTTCAGATATATGGAGAAAGGAAGAATTTAGGACCAAGAAAAGATAGAGAACATTATGTAATGCAAAATGGCTAATTTTGCTTACATTCCATTGAAAAGTTTTTTTGCACAAACAAAGCCAATGCATCCAAGATGAGGAGGGAAGCAGAAAACTGGGAAAGAATTTTGCCAACAAGGGTCTCTGATAAAGGCCTCATTTCTAACATATAGAGAGAATGGGATCAAAACAATAAGAAGGCAAGTCATTTCCCAAATGATAAATGGTCAAAGGATATGAACAAGCAGTTCTCAGAGGAAGAAATTAAAGCTGTCTAGAGCAATATGAAAAAATGTTCTAAATCACTATTGATTAGAAAAATGCAAGTCAACAGGACTCTGAGGTACCACATCACACTTATGAGATGGGCTAATGTGACAACACAGCAAGATAGTCAATGTTGGAGAAAACGTGGGAAAATTGGGACACTAATGCATTGTTGGTGGAGCTCTGAACTGATCCAACCATTCTGGAGAGCAATTTGGAACTATGCCCAAAGTGCTCAAAAAGTGTGCATACTCTTTGATCCAGAAATACCACTTCTATGTCTGTATCCCACAGAGATCATAAAAATGGGATGGCAAAGAATTGTAAATTGAAGGAATACCCATCAATTGGGGAATGGCTGAACAAGTTGTGGTATGTGAATGTGATGGAATACTATTGTGCTATAAGAAATGACAAGCAGGTGCACTTCAGAAAAACCTGGAAAGGCTTATATGAACGGATGCTGAGGAAAATGAGCAGAACCAGGAAAACACTGTACACTGTACACAGTAACAGCCATACTGTGTGATGACTGACTTTGATAGACTTGGCTCTTCATAGCAATACAAGGATCTAAGACAACTCCAAAGGACTCACAGTGGAAAATGCTATCCACATCCAGAGAAAGAACAATGAAGTCTGGAATGTAGATGGAAGCATACTCTTTGATCTCCTTGTACTTTGTTGTTTTGTTTTTTGCTTCATTCTCATGGTTCCTCCCATTAGTTCTAATTCTAGTTGATGTCATCGCTAATGGGAATATATGCTTAATATGAATGTATAAGTACAGCCTATGTCAGATTGCACACCATCTTGGGAGGAGGGGTGAGGGAGGGGCACAATTTAAAACTTAAAATCCTGTGGGAGTGAATCTTGAAAACTATCAATTAATTATTTATTTATTTTTAAAGAAGAAGAAGAAGAGGAAGAAGAGAAGAAGAAGAAGAAGAAGAAGAAGAAGAAGAAGAAGAAGAAGAAGAAGAAGAAGAAAAGAAGAAGAAGAAGAAGAAGAAGAAGAAATGCTTGGAAAAGTGACCAAAACTATATTCTGTAGGGTTTATTTAAAAAAAAAGTGTTTTAAGTAAAAATGGTGGAACACAGAGCCAAGAAACTTACAAGGACAGCTGACACCAATCCTACTGGGAAGGAACAAAAATGACCTCCTGATTTCCCCCCCATCAGATGTCTGTGGTGTTTTCTCCAGTAGACAAACAGTCAAAGGATATGAACAGGCATTTTTCCAAAGAAGAAATACAAGGGATCAATAACCAAAATTTTTAAAAAAGTGTTCAGAATCACAAATAAGTAGAGAAATGCCCATGAAGGCAACTCTAAGGTTCTACCTCCTACCTGTCAAGTTGGCAAAGAGGACAATCAGGCAAAATGACCTATATTGGAGAGACTTTGAGAAATCAGGCACATTACTGTTCAACTAGGGTGCTGGGGGAAGCTAGAGTGCATAGAGCTCTAGGCTTGGTCTCAGATAGTTACTTCCCATGTGATCCAGGGTAAGATGATTCACCCTGTTTGCCTCCATTTCCTCATCTTTAAAAATGATCTGGAGAAGGAAATGGCAAACCACTCCAGGATCTTTGCCAAGAAAATTCCCAAATGGGATGAGGAAGAGTGGGACTCACCAGACATGACTCAACAACAATGCTCTAAGTAGGAACTGTAAACTAGTCCAGGCATTCTGGAAAGAAGTTATGAGCATTGCCCCGTAAGATAATAAAACATGTTTACCCACTCTTCTGGCAAGACAACTCCTAAACCTATCCCACAAAGAGATTAAACAAAGAGGAAAAAGTTCGATATGGACAAGAATTTGATGGCCATTTTTTCTGGCTGTGGCAAAGAACTGGAAACTAAACCCCCACTTGGCAAGAGCTGAACAAATGATGAGTTGGAAAAAAAGAAATTATGGTGTAGGGACTGAATAGAATCCTACTGTAATCTTAGAAATAATGAAAGGGGTGATGTTCAGAGAAAGCTGGGAAGACTTGTACGAAGTGATGTAGAGAAGAGTGAGCAGAAGCACAAAGACAAACCACTTTGAAAGACTTCAGAATTCTGTTGAAGGCAGTGAACAACTACTCTTCTGGCAAATGATGCAACTTCTGATAGACAGGGGATGGACTCAAGGTAGAAGGGAAATACATCTTTTAGACATGGCCAAGGAGGGACTGGTTTGCTTGTCTCTGCATGTTTATAACAAGTGGTTTATTTTTCAGTTTTTCAAATGGATAGGAGGTGGGAAGAAAAGAAAATAGATTGTTATTAATTAAAAGAATGAAAACAGAAGCAGCTTTCTCTGGCTAATGCGGCTTCTCCCTTCTCTGATGCCTGAAGAGCTGACCTTGGGGTCTCAAAGATGGTGCCAGGAGAGGACACCAGATGGCAGATCCTTCCAAACCAGGGCCGCATTCAAGGAGGGCATGGCAATAGGCTGTATGGCTACCCTACAAGAAACAGCAGAGCCAACACCCTCTAATGCTTCACTCCCATTTGTCCTGTTACATCTTCTTGGTACCTAGACGTCTCCTCATGAGGAGACTGTCAGCTCCTTGAGGGCAAGGACTGTGGGGTTGTTTGTTTGGTTTTGCTTTAGGACAGCACCTGACCCACAGTAGGCCATGCTTATAAGTGCTGCTTGGCTGAGTAACCCTAGTTAAAGAGAATGAACTGGATGGTGAGTGGTGTCTGTGTCCTGTGCAAAGTTCCTGGCACTCAGGGCTCACCTGCAAATATGGGGTGAATTCTCCTGATTCCCACATGTCCTCTCTCCTGCTGCTACCCTTGGCTGCCCACCAGGAGAGCATAGCAGGATGGATGTTATGGAGTCCAGAGGGGTAGAAATAGCAAGCACCTAGCACATGGGAGGAAAGGCTAATCTGAGGCAGAGGTTGAAGTGCCAGAAGGGACCTCCATCCAGACTGACTCTGGCAGTGTCACATCTATGTGCGTTCAGACCCAGCCCAAGGAAGGCCGATGCATGAGGGGCACCATGATCTGGAAGGCTACAGCTAGAGCCCCTTCTACCCCAAGAGTTACCTCTCTCATGGTCCTCTCAGAAGTCATTAGACATATTTGGAAGATGGCAAAAATGAGGGATAAGATTCAGCTGGGGAGAGGACATGGAGACTGAAGCCAGAAGCCCTGCCTTCTGGCCCCAAGCCTGGTGAACACACAGCCCTGTCCCTTCTGGTTGAGGACCAGGATGCTCTAAAGAGAGGCTGCTTGCAGACAGACCCTGGTGACCTTTGGCTTGTGGTGTCATCATTTCTGAGCTGGACTTTATCTCACATTATGGGCTGAGTGGTATCATGGCTCCTGACCAAGAGTCTAGCCCTTCTGGGATAATCCAGGAAGGAACATCCTATCTGTTCTCACCAATGTAAAGGGACGAAGCCCTCCAGACCTGGCATCGGGTACGTCCTGCCCTCATAACCAATTCCAGCCTGCCTCAGCTCCTCTACCAATCCCTCACCCTCCAGTGCCTTGTCACTGACCACGGAGGGCACAGATAAAACACCTCTTTGCAGCAGACAAGCTCAAAGTGGGCAGGACAGCCACCCCTACCTTGGAGCCTGAGGCTCTGGGGCCTGCATATAGAGAATGCATGATAAAAGTTTGTTGGAGTGGATGGAGAGGAGAATGAGAGACAGGACATAACCCTTACTTTTTAGACATGAAAACTTGAACCTACGTGGCTTGGTTCCCTTTTGTCAGGGCTTTTGTCCCTTTGGCTCCCTAAAAGCTCCCCTTCAAGGCTCTGTCTTCCAAACTTTCCTCATCAGCCCTGTCCCAAAGCCCTTGTCTGTCCCCCCTACCCAAACCACCCACCATGGCTGCCCTGGGGACTCAACAAGGCTCACCATGAGCCAGCGAAGCCACAAGCAACAGCATCCCCAAGACAAAGAGGAGCAACTTCTTCCTGGGGGAGAAGCTCCTGGATTTCACTGGGATGAAGGAGGAGATGTTAGCACCAGCCCTCCCCCACCACAAGATCCTGTGAGGCCCTCCTTGACTGGCAAATGAAACACCCAAAAGGGTGTGCCCACCCCTCACACCTACCTCCTGCCACTGGGCATCACCAGCTGGCCTTTTTAAAATTTTTTTTCAAAGGCAGACTTCAGAGGAAGGAGCAGGAGACCCCGCATCTGACACATTTGCCACCTAGTCACAGCATGGTGGGCAAGGATATCTCTCCCACTTCCCTTGGGGGCCTCACTCATTTCCAATGAGGACTGTGGCTCCAACTTATTTGAGTGAGGCCTGACATCAATTCTGATTTCAATTCCTCCAGAATAAACAGCAAGGACGTTGCAGCCCCTTTATCTCATGATGTCCAGTCATTGATTGTTCTGTTAAGAAGAAAAGAAGATGTTAAAAAATGTAGATTTGCAATAGCCTAGCTCCCTAGAAAGGGCCTTGCAACATTCTGTACACCAGAGGGAAAGAACCTCAGCAACTAAGTGATAAAACATTCTGATTCAGCCAGCTTTGTGAGTGATTTGGCTGGAGAATTTTTGGTTGTTATAAAAGAGTGTTTCAGTGAGATGATGCAGTTTTAGATGGAAAAACAAAAGGCAGCAATAAACCTACTTGAAAACAGAAAAGAAAAATTATAAAAGAGAGATGCTGGATTACAAAGGGTGACTGGGTACTAGCTGCCCAGTGGGCTATCAAAGTGACCACTCATTGCCTAGGTGTGTGACACGTGAGCCTAAGGAAGGCTCAAGCACTGGACTTTCACCTGGGTCATTTGGCCTCTGCCTTGCCTTAATATTCCTCTTAAACAATGATAATGGCAAGGACAAAAGCTTGATAAATTCCAATGACTTCCATTCACTGTTGGAGAAATGCCCAAAGCCAGGCATCCAGCAGTTGGCTTTCAGAGCCCAATAACCAAGAGCCATCGGGGCTCCACTGCCTCCAGCTCACTGAGGACATAGATTACAATCATGTCAACAACCTTAGCATCCATCCCAAGCACAGCCCATGGGCTGCCTGGCTACACCAGCTCAGGGACAAGAGGAGCTGCCCTTCAGAGCAAGGTAGACAACAGAACCCAGACCCATCCCAAGGGACGATGGACCTGGGGAAACCTGTGAGTCTGGGCACCTGGCCCGTTCCGCTGGCTTTGAGGGAATGATCCCAAGGTCAGAGGGAGGAGAGAGGGCCACATTTTCTACTCCTGGTAACCTTGAGTTTCCCATTTCATCTGCCTCTTAAGGGATGTCAGCCCCCCAATCACAAGTGGCCCACCTGTTAAGGGTTTGGTTTATGAAGCTGGTCAGAAGCCCAGCCACATGCAGCAGCTGCTGCCTGAAGTTCTCCAGCTGACTGTGATGCCCCTGAAGCTTCTCCAGGGCAGGGGGAAGGGCCTCCCCAGCACCATGCTCCTGCCAGGCTCTGGGTCCAAAGCCCTTGTCCTTCTCGAGCTCAGCGATCATCTGCTGCAGCTGCTGGATTTTGCGCTCACCTCTCTGCCGCTGCAGCTCTAAATCCCGCTGCCGGCCCTGCAAGCACAAGATGAGAAGAAAGCACAATGTTACACACTGCTCTAGCACAAGCTCGAGAAGCTACAGGCCAGGGAAGAGGATGCACTGGAATGCAGGAGATGGGAGGACCTGCTGCTGGGGAGGGCCAGGGGTCCAGCTCTTGCAGACACAGGGCCTGCTGTTCTCCCATAGGGCTCTCACTGGCTCCATCAGGGAAAAGGCTCAAGCTGGGACAAATGTAGCCTCCTAGGAAAGGTCACACAGGGTGTGTGGGCTGATGCTTGACTGTGGGCCAAGTTTACAGAGGCACACTGGTGGCTGGCTGGGGAGCACAGAATCACAAGTGGAAGGGACTCTTGCAAGCAAGCTGGCCCTACTCTCCAGTTTGAGAGATGAGCAGACTGAGGTCCAGAGAGAGAGGTGCTTTGTGCAAGGTCACACAGCTAATCCCATAAGAGACAGAGAGGCACGATCCAAATCCAAGCCCTTGGACTACTTCTCTTCTTGCCCTCTTCCCTGTCTGGTACTCAGGGCCCTGCAACACACTGCCTTGAGAAATCTTGCCACCCCACTAAGTCTCCAAGGCTGGCCATGAGTCTAAGTCGAAGAGGACTGTTGCTAACCACTGCCACTGCTCAGGAAGCCCTTGTTCCCACCGCCCACCTCGCCTCTTCTCAAATTGTATTCTGGTCCATGTCATCTGGTCTTGACTCAGCCCCCACTGACTGCAACAAGACAGTCCTTTTGCTCCCAACCTCTCAATCTCCCACCCCAGCACTGGGCTCTCTCATGTCCCCTCCCCCTCATTTTTATCCCTTGGTCCCCTCCCCCACAATCTCCTCCTCCTTTCCTCCCCTTCTCACCTTGGCCACCTCCCTTCTTCTGTCCCCAGCAGATTATATCCTCAAGCCAAGACCTCAGCCCATAATTCATGGGCTTATTTCATGATGATTTCACACCTCTAAAAGGTCCATAGGGAAGCAACCAAGGGGAAGTGTATTCTTCTCTACAACCAGTTGCCCACACACATATCAATGGCTTGCCACCATTCTCATCAAAATCCCAACTGGAGCGCCCCACCCCTGGCTCACCACTCTCCTGCTCTCCTCCCAGTTCCCATGGGCCCAAGCTGTCAGCTGCATGCAGATGACTCCTTCCTGCAGATATGGGGCCCTGTCTCTTCTGAACATTCTCAAACCTGACATGTCAGAACTCATTGCTTTCTCCCCCAAACCCACCTCTTTTTCTGGATTTTCCTCTATCTGTGGAGGATACCCCAATCCTCCCAGTTCCCCTCAATTGCTACAGAATCCATCGCTTCGTCATTTCGACAACCATGTCATCTCTTGTCTCCAGAGACATTGTCCAAGTTCCTTGCCTCTCACCTGGCAGTCCCTCATTGGTCCCCACCCCTCATCCATGGTTCATGCTGCTGCCAAAAGGATTTCTCTCAAGTGTCACCTCTTCTACCTTCTCAAGAAATCCAGGGGCTCCTGCCTACCTACAGGCTCCAGCAGAAAGGTCTCTGCCATTTCAGTCTCCTCTGGCTGTGTCTCCTTCTTGCAATCTTCTTGCTCCTTCTCCCTGGCTTCCTGATGCACTTCAGCCTCCCACCTAACCGTATTCTGCACAGAGACTGGAGCAACCTTGCATCCGTAGGGGGGTTGCCCCCCTGAGAGAACATCAGCTTGATATTCCCTGTCCCCCAGAGCCCTCCCCCAGGCAGGAAGGGGGGTCACAGAGGGCACCCTGGCGCCAGAAGTCAGATGCCAAGCACCCTGGGGTTCTGAGGGCAGGCGACCCTCACTAGCCTCTCCTGGTCTTTCTTGCCCTTCTTGCCCCTGTCTTCCTCTGCTTTAGGCTCACGCCATTTCTGCTTCTCCCTCCTGGCCTCCTTGCCAGCCTCTTCCTTTGGCCTGGCCTCTAAGTGCTCCAGCTCTGTGTGCAGGCTACCCTGCTTGGCCCTGTCTTCTTCCAGATAGAATAGCAGCTCCTGCTCCTGCCTCTGGAGGGCATCTACTGAGGCCTGTAGCAGTGCTCTCACCTCTTTCTCCTTCAGCTCTTCACGGGGCATTTGGACCTCCAGCTCCAGCTGCTTCCGGCTGGCCATGCCCTGCTGGCAGGCATCCTCCAGAAGGGCCTGGAGCTGGGCTGCCTGTGCCTTCTCATTGTTCAACTCACACTCAAAGGCAAACTGCAACAGGGCCTCCTTCTGCCTGCACACCTCCTGGGTGAGCTTGCTCAGCTGCTCCATGAGCAGGAGCTCCCGGTTCATGGAGGCCCTGAGCTCAGCTGAGTGGGCACGCTCCACCTCCAGGGCCCTCTGCAACTCCAGGCCTGGTTGCGCTCCTGGCGCAGGAGTGCCCTGCAGCACCACTGCTCAGCCACAAGCTTCTTTTTAAGCTTCTGCTTCTCCTCCTGCTCTTGCTGCAGGCTGATCACCAGCTCCCACATCTGGCTGTACTCCTCCTGAGACACCTGCAGTTCCTGGGTGGGGAAAAGAAGGGCCACAGCTGCAGCCTGGCCTGGCCTGGGCCTCCTCCCTCAATCAGTCACAGCTACTGACTGCTACACAAACTGGTAAATGCCACAGCTGCTCCGAGTCTACACTCGCCGACTGCCCCAAGCCTTTCTCCTGCCCTGTCCACCCCTGCATGTCCGGGAGCTGCCACTAGCAATGGGCACCACAGCTTCCTTCCAGGCTTCATGTGTGCAACCGCCTCCAGGGTCCTGGACCTCAGCTCGTCCTTCTCCAGACTCTGCCTCTGCTCCTCTTCCATGAGGGCCTGCAGCTCCTTAACTTTCTGCTTCTCACCCTGCAGGATGTCCAGGGCTGTCTTCAGAAAGGGGACTACTAGGTGGCCCACCCCCCCACCCCATGCCAGAGGCAGACCAGAGGGACTTGCCCCTGCCAAAGAGCCCAGGGTCATGGACACAGCTCTACCCTAAGGACCTCAGACAGGGTATGGCGTGTGCCCCATTAGAAAAGGGCCCCTTGAGAGCAGGGATGGTCTCCTCTACACACACATATGCACACACATGCACATAGAGCATGAAATTGACTAGTCTGGTTCTAAAACCCAAAAGAACAAAGCAGGCGGGTACCTTAAGGCTAGTCTAGAAAAGCAGGTCTTCTAACAACTTAGACACTGGCCTCACCTGTTCCTGCTCTCTTCTCTTCTTACATAATCTATGTTCATAAGAAATGAACTCCCACCATCTTAGGGGAGACCCTGTGGTCACGCCTAAGGGCAACGGGGTGGTCATAGTGTACATGCCCCATACGGGCTCTGATGCTGGGCAAAGGCAGACAGACCATCCACCACACCTCCTGGCCCAACTGCTGGCCCTCTCCTGCCCATCAGGGGATTGTTTCCACAGCCACAGGTGTTTTAAAGTCTCCTGCTGACTAGTAGGGCCCACATTCCCAAGCCCTGCAGGAGGATTACCTTCATCTCTTTGAAAAACATTCTGGATTTCTCAAGATGAGCCTCAAGGTGGGTGTGCAGAGGTCTTGGCTGTTCTGCAGCTTGCTTTCCTCTTGCTACAGGGAAATGGCACTACCTAAAAGAGAAAACAAGAAAAAAGGTCAGAGTGATCCCAAGTGACCTCTACATGCCAGCCTGTGAAGGCTTATTCCGAAGAATCAGATGAAAAGGAGGGCCCCCTTTGGGCTGTGTCTCCGCAGCCAACAAGAAGAGCAGCACTTTGCGGTCAAGGAGGAAGCTCCAAAGGAGCACTGGCACAAAAGATGCAAAGACATCAAAGCACCAAATCACACACTCTAGTCCAAAGCGGGGGGAGTGAAGGAGACATTTATTGCCTGAACAGAGCCATTCACAGATCAAACAGATGCCAAAGAAGATCTAGGACACCTAAGAGTGCGTCTTGGCCAGATGGACAGTCCGGCTTTGTGGCTGTGCTGCCGACCTCCACCCCAGTCACCCCTGATGGGAATCTGGGCCCCTCACAACTTTTGGGAGCACCCCATCTCAGAGCCCTGCTCAGGGGACAGGCCAATAGGAGAGTGCCTCAGGGCCAGCACCAACTCACTGATGCCATGTCCATTGCTGTCCGCCCCTAAGCCAGTTACATTGGACTGCAGGTCTTGCGCATCCATTTGTGTTATGATGAAATCATGGCTAAAAAGAGAAAGAGACACAGAGAGACAGGACAGAGACATTGAGAGAAAAAGAGAGGGAAAATGAGAGAGAGAGAGAGAGAGAGAGAGAGGTGGGAAGGGGAAGGAAGAGACACAGAGAGGGGAAGGAAAAGAGAGACAGAGATAATGTCCAGGATTACGAGGGTAGAATTACACAGTGCCACTCCCCTGGCCAGACCACATCTGGCATGGAGAGCTCTGGGGGCCAACTTTTTGGATGGATACTATACCCAGAGAGAGTTTGTGGTAACAGGAGAGCCACCTCCAAATGCCAGAGGACTGCCACGTGGAGGAGAGGGTCCAAGCTGTTCTGGGCAATGTAAAGAGGATGCAGACCTGCAGACTCAGCCTGGGTAAGGGAGGTATGGGGCTGGAGGTGTAGGCTTGTCCCTATGGCTTCTGAGAGTCCTTCCAGCCCCCAGAGTCTGTGAAACATAGTGGGTGAGGATAAGCTGCCTCTGTCCCTGTGGGGAAGCCTTCAGGAGATAATCAAAAGAAACCAAAGAGGCACCAACAAACCAGAATCCTAAAATGGACACAGACTTCACTCCAGGGCCTCCCCAGCCTCTCACCCATCTCTCACATGCCTAAAAAGGAGGGCCCTTGCTTCACAACGAACAAGACAAAACCACCTCCCAAGCCCCCATTTTGAGCCCAGACAACTGCCCCGGCAAGGCAAACTGCCACTTTCTGCTGTTGGCCCAAGCATTTTGGGTCTCCGAGAGGGCAGAGACTGCACGCCTGCTAAGGTACTGTGGCTTGCCAGCATGGAAGCTGGGATTACAGATGTGTATCACCCTGCTTGGCTCTTAAGTCTGATAATAACTTCTTCCCACTAGCAGTATCCATAATTACAAAACATTTAGTAAAGCAGCTGCCTCAGAAAAACATTTACACCTTTGCATATTGTGTATTTGTACAAGCACGTGTGCAAATGTGTGTGCATTCTCCACTAAAATCTTACTGCCACGTGACATTGGACAGTGGAAGTGAATCTGTGCTGCTAAAGGCCATCCCAGCAGGGTGCAAGTTTTGGTAGTTCTACCATGATGGCAAGGTTTTGAAGTAAGAGCCTGGTACGTTGCCCCCTTATAATCTTGCCAATTGTGTCTTGCCAAGCCTCAGCCTTGAATCACTGCTGCCTTCTACTGTCTTTCTTCCTATACACTTGCTACTCAGTAAAGGTGGAAAAAATCATGCAACTGTGTTTACTAGATCTACTATAAATTTATGTTACATAATCTCAACTGGGCTCTCACTGCTGCAAGGCAATCACTTTATATTCTAGCTCCATGGTAAATTCCCTATGCCACTCACCAGAGCAGCTTTTGCAACCTTTTAATCCCTCCTCAAACCTCCCTTGGTTCACTATGTACCTTCTCAACTAAAAATCTTGCCTCATATTTTACAGAAAAAACTGAGGCCATTACCTGAGTCCTCCCTGTTTCCCCCTCCTTCTCATCTAACATACAAATGCCTTCTGCCACTATGTCCTTCTTCAGCCACCTCATAGGAAGAGGTG